GCTGCCCGCTGAGCCCCGAGGCTCCCCTTACGGAAACTGACGTGTCAGTGAAGCCAGGCCGCTTAGCTTCCGAAATACAGATCATTTCATGTGTTTCCTGGTGATTTAAAAATAAAATAGTTCGTGGCCAGCGAGGAGTCTCCAGCCTCGCAGGGAGCGTTGGGGGGAGAAGCTGCCCCGCCCACTGGACCCAGCGGCCGACCCGGCGAGGAACCGCCCCTCCAGCCACGTTTAATCATTTTTTTAACAGAGCCCGCAGAAAGGCTGATTTTCACCCAGAGGGAGACATTCTGCACGTGCTGTGTTAAGCCTGCCGTGACCAGGCATTTCACGACCACGGGGAGATCGTCTTTTAAAGCTCTCTTTATTTTTTTCCCACTAGAAAAGTAATGGGTGGTGGCTCCCTGTGGGGACGCTGCGGGACTCACTTGTCACTCCCCCCAAAACCAGAGACACTCCCCCCCACGCGGGCTTCTGCTCCTCCCTGGGGCGGACATGGTTCTGTCCACGCCGAGTCCTCCGCCCAGTCTCCCCACACGGTGCCCTTAGCACAGGGCGGTCCCTGCAGCAGGCAGCACAGGCCCCGCAGACTCGGGAACGGTCGGTGAAGGACCCACGCCCTGCAGGTGGGAAATGGGGCAGGGGGCCTTCCGCTCCTGTGACGCTCCATGCCGGACCCCAAGGAGCAGTGTGGCCTGGAAGTGGGCTCGGGGAGCCCTTAGAGTGGGGGTACCCTAGGATTGGCTCCATCCTCGGCCCCAGGAAACAGCTGCAGGGCCCCCTACAGGGCCATCCGTTCTTGTGGGCTGGCCAGGAGGGGCAGGCAGGCAGGTGACAGTGTCTGGGGTGCGTGACAGACAGGCCTCTCTAGACAGATGGGGGTCGGGGCCTCTGGCCTCGGAACCGCAGCTGGGGCGTGGGGTCACCAGCCTGAGCCCGAACGAGCTGGCGAGGGTCCCCGGTCCTGGAGAAGCACGTGGCTGGCTAGAAGGACGGGACCGTCGCAGGGCCGGGCTCTCGTCCTGCTGGCACCTCCCTAGCCAAGTGGCCTCCAGCAAGTCCCCTGACGGCTCCTTGCCGGGTTCTCCACGGGAGGCGGAGCGGTGTCTCCTGGAAGGAAGCCAGGCAGGGCGGCCAGGCCTCACGGGGCGGACCGGGCTGAGGGCCAGGGCCGGTCCCCACTGCTGGGCGGCCCCCAGCCCGCCCCGACCACGGCGCACCCACGGAACTGCCTGCCGGCGACCCCGGGCTCGGCACCTCCCGCCCAGCCACCGGGGCCTGTCCTTGTGTCTGTCTGTCCTGTGACGCCGGCAGCGGGCGCCACGTTCCCGGCTCCTCTGGCATACACCTGCCCTGGGTGACCGCCTCCGTCCCCACCGCAGGCTTCACTTCCTGCATCCTTATTTGTCACCTGTTAGTGTCCACATCTCTCCGCAGAAGAACTCGCGGGAGCGGCAGCTCCATCCGGGAGGAGGGCTTGGCGGGTGCTCATTGAACGGATGGCCAGGCGGGCGGGTCATGGCACGAACTGTGTGGTCCAATGGCTGAAACGGAGTGCTGCTCACTGGGATCAGACCGGGCTGGTCCCGAGTTCTGGACTTCCCAGCCAGCCAAGCCCTGACCGCTCACCTGCAGCCTGAGTGGGGTGTCAGGTAAGGAAGGGGCCAGCCGCTCGCTGCTGAGAGCAGAGGCCAGGTCCCCAGGCCCATCGACAAACATTAGCGACAACTCTGTGTGGGACCCTGGGCGGGAGCACGAGGGGTGGCCGCACCGCGGTGGCCCTGTCCCCAAGGAGCCCGGCATCTGGAGAAGGGACGGCACGTGCACAAATTTCGATGGCAGCATGCGGGGTGTGCGGAGCTGTGCAGAGGCTTAGGGAGGCTCCATCTGTCCCGACTTGCCCCTGACGACCCCGGTTCCAACTGTGGCCTTGGTGTCATCGGTGCCTTTTTTACTCGCAAGTGGATGACCATCATCTGGTCACCCCAGGGTGAGAAAGCAGAGGAGGCTTCCAGGAGGAGGTGTCTATGCTGAGCTATACGAAGGGTGCAGGGCGAGAGGGAAGAAGTGGGAAAGGCCCAAAGCACAGGTGCCTGCAGAGAAGAAGAGGAAGGTGGGCCCCCCAGAGGGTGCTGGGTTAGGGACAGGCACGCCCCAGACGCGACAGAGGGCGCCCCAGACGCGACAGAGGGCGCCCCAGGCGGACCGTGGGCGTGAGCTTTGCACGCGGCCTTCCCCCCAGGTCTTCCAACATTAAATGTGGGTGGTGGGAAAGAGGGGTCACCGTTCGGGGGGCCTGCTTTGTTTCTCCCACATGGATGTCTGGTCGATCTAGTGGCGTTTGTCGAAAAGTCGTTCCTCGTCCTGTCGAACTCCCGGGCGCCTGGACCATAAGTCCGCTGACTGCAGAGGCCACTCTGTCTCTGGACCACGCGCTGTTAGCCTGGTCTGTTGGGCCCTCATGACGACACCGCTGTCTGCATCCCTGCAGCATCACAGGACGTCGTGACCTCAGGGGGCTTAAGTCCGACGATTTCGTATTTCTTCTTCAAGATTAGCATCACTGCGTACATTCTGGAACCAGCCTGACACCGTCTTCAAGAGCCTCCGGACCGTCTGACTGGGCCTGCACTGAATCTTTTCAAATATTCGTAGACGTTCACGGAGAGCCGATGCCTTCACACGCCGGAGCTGTCCAATCGGAGAACAGTCTTCGGTTTCCGCCAGCCGCGTTTGTGGTTGTGAGTGTGGGTGTCTCGTGCCTGTTTTTAAACATATATTCCCAGGGATCTGAGACTTCTCGATGCTATATAAGATAACCGTGAAACTCTGTTTTCTAATCGTTTGTTGATAGTTTATTGGTTTTTCACGCGACCGGAAGGCTGTCCTGCCAACTTGCTAAGTCCCTGATCAGTTCTCATCGTCTTTTAAAGACCGCTTAGATTTTCTGCGTGCACAGTCACGTCGCTCGCAGACAGAGAGAGTTTTGCTACTTCCTTTCTGGTCCTTCTGCCTCTTATTTCCTCTTCCTCCTTGGCTGCACGGGCTGACACCGCCCGCGTCGTGGTCACGTGGCAGATGCAGCGACCCTTCCCTTGGTCTGTCTTACGGACGAAGGTCACCATTTCGCCATTAAACGTGAAGTCGGCTGGAGGCTTTCTGTACGAGCCCTCGTCGTGTTGATGGGATCCCTGTCCGTTCGCAGCTGGAAAGGGCGGGAAGGAGCCCCTGGCCCACTGTGTCGACTTCCGGCCTCCAGGGCTGCAGGGTGACAGAGCCGTGCTGCGTTCGGCCACCAGGTCTGTGGTCATTTATTGAAGAGCCACGGACACTGATGTGGATCACGTCCTCTCTGCTGCGTTCACTTGCTCTCCTGTGTCTTCAAACGGTCGCTTTCCGTTCTTTTCTGGAGTTCACGACGATCGAATGGCGGGAGGTTGAGTCTGAGATCAGTCACTGCTGTGCCAGAGACAGCTCATCTCACCCTCCGTTTAATGAAAAGGACACAGAGAGTTCTGGACTCCAAGACATGTACATCCTCTTGGAGGCCCGCACCTGTCTCAGAGGGTCACGAAGTCATTCAGCGAAGTCATTCGTCGCACGATGTGAATCGAGCCTCGGGGATGCTGGTGTCTTGGCCAGTTCGGGTGTCGTAAAACTACCACGGACGGAGCTGCCTCAACAACAGGAATGGAGTTCTCACGGTTCAGGGGGCTGGAAGTCCAAGGTCGAGGTGTCGGCAGGACCGGCTTTGGAGAGAGCCGGCTTCCGTCTTGCAGGCGGTGGCTTCTCGGGGCACAGGTGGCGGAGGGAGACGCCATCTCGCTGTGCCTGCTCCTCTAAGGCCACCGCTCCTGGGTGAGGGCGTTGGAGGTTAACGTGTCGCACGAACTCAGCCCCTGAATCCACGGTCAAGGTCAGAAGAACGAAGGGGCGGGGCCCAGCCCTGTGGTTTACGGGGACCATAGGAATCGGCTGCGGAGAAAACGTGGCCGCAAAGTGGGCTTCGTGCTCCCGTGGGTGCCTGTGGGTGAGCGCACGCCCCTCCCAGCGAACGGGCCCTCGCTGGCACCACTGCTCCAGCACGTGGCCCTGTGCCTTTGGAACTAAGGCCACCGCACTCGGCTCTGTGCACGGCTCAGGGTGCAGGCTGGACCCCAGGCAGAGCTGAGGGTCTCCAGAGCCACCAGACGTGGGGCCTGGAGGAAGACCGCTCTGAGGCCCCGGGAGGCCCTCATCCTGGGCCGTCCTCCCTCTCTGCCCCGGCCCAGTGTCCTGCCACCCCACTTGTGCTGAACTTGGCCAGGCGGAGCTTCCTGGGGATCCGTCCGTCTGCATTTAACCACTCTCCAGCAGCCCCAGGCGCCGGGGTAGGGGCTTTGAGACTCAGTGGGTAGAGCCACCCACAGGGACGATTCAGCCCCCCAAGACCACCCGACATCTCCAGCAGGCATCAGGGACCTGCTCAGCTCGCACGCTCACCAGGCATTGCGCATCAGGCCCACAGCGGTCATCCCCTGAGCCAGAGGTCATCAACGGGTGACCTGCAAGCCTGCAGAGAGGTGCCTTTGCTGGCACTCCCAGGGATTAAGGCTTCTTTCATTAGCTGCCAGCAGTTAACAATTGGAAAATTTCACAGTCTGGATTCCTGGCCGCTCCTGAATGTCAGAGGCTGGCAAGTCTCACCACATTGCCACCTGGAAGGGCTGGCCTCCTGCAGGTGCCCCGAG